TCACTTGCTTACTGAAGCAGAATACCAATTTTCTCTGAGCTGCTCCTTCAGCTCTAAAGTTCTTCAGAGTGGTTACCCCGAGAAACCCTTGCAGCCAACCTTAACTAGCAGATTACAGGCACTCCGTCCTTTCTGCTTGCATCAAAGGATGAGGGACTGAAATTTCGGGAGCATCTGCTCATGTGCCACCTCTGTTGATTTGCCTCATGGTATCAGCAAGGACCACCTGCGTCATACTTTTTAACCAGAGAATGATGGTCAGAGATCTGTGATGACAGTTTCATCTGGAAATCTGAGCTGCCTGCTTAGGTCTTCCTGCATCTCCTACTCCAGGTTCATCCTCACAGTGTGCAATACTTCAGGACTTTTTCATGATACATGATAAACGTTGTAGTACGTTTTTCTGCAGTTCGATAAGGGCCGCACAGCACAATGGGTAGCTCTGTCGCCTCACAGCAAGAAGGGCCTTGGTTTTATTCTCTGGCTGGGTGACCAGGGTCCTTTCTGTGTGGAGTTTGCATGTTTTCCCCTTGTCTCTGTATGGGTTTCCTCCAGGTGCTCAGGTTTCCTCCCACAGTCCATAGACATGCAGTCAGGCGAACTGGAGATGCTAAATTGACCCTAGCTGTGAGTGTGTGTGTGTGAATGTTTATGTCTGTGTGTCTGCCCTATGATGGACTGGTGACCCATCCAGGGTGTTTCCTGCCTTCTGTTCAATGAACGCTGGGATATACTCCAGCGCTCCCCTCAACCCAGGAGCATAAGTGTCTTAGATAATGTATGTGTGTGTGTGTGTGTGTTTGATCATTTGAAACAGCCATAAAAGAACCATCAGTACCACAAACGTAGTGCCAAAAATACTATCAAAAGCAGTACAATGAATTTCAGGGCTAATTATCCTGGCTTTACAGTGAATACATTTGTTACATACTGATGATATCCACTATGTGCTCAGAAAAGCATAATGTGATGTATCAAAATATTTATTTATATTATCATATTGCCCACCCTAAAGGTTGTCATTCTAAATAGATTATAGACCACTTTTAAGAATTTTCTATTTTTTTCATAATATACATTGTTGGGAGAGGACTTTACTCGTACAAGAAGTATGAATAATACATTATGATCAATGCCACCTTCATTAGAGAAATATGCATTATATATCAGCTGTTATACTTTTCAAAACTTGTTATATTCACAACCAACATTACTGGCAGGTGTAATTTATTGTACAATCCTGTGGACTAGAAACCTGATAGTCATCCTCTAAGGAAGCTGTTAAATTTCCTTACCCGCACTTCTACTGCGGAAAGGAGTCAAAAACCAGGATTAGTCACAGTGTTGTGTTAGCTAAACCACTCTTAGTCTGCTAGGTAAGCCACTCTTCTCCTGTGTTGTTATTCAAGCTTCTGCTTCATTAAATATGTCCTTCACACTTCCCCCATCATTAAGCTCAGCCCTGTGCTTGGGCTATGTTCAGAATGTCAGTATGGCAATACATTTTGAATAAACTCATGGCAAAGTACATATTGATATAATAATGGCTCATTGGGTATTTTGTTAACCTACTTTTACAGGGTATTTATGCATGAGTGAAACTAATACTGCATTTAAGTCTGAGAGTGCAAGATTTATAACATTTATAACGGTTGTATGCATGAATGAAGTGAATATCTTTGCCTGCTTATTGTTAAGGCAGTGCTTTTTGTTAGCACTGAATTTCACTTTCATAAGCGTGGTTTAGTTGTTGGTAGTAATTAGTTTGTAGCCCTGTTAAATGCAAAGTGGATAATGTTACTGTGATATATGCAATCTGTGACATGTTAGTGAATGTTTTGTTATTCGTTGTTGATTTTTACATACCGACCACTGCCTGGGCTGCTGCGACTGTAAATGAAAAATTTCAAAAGGGTTTCTCCACATTAAGCATTGAGATGGTTTGGAACTGCTTTATGTCTCTGGAGTTCTTCTTTTCTTTCAAATAAGGCAACACTCAGCAGTATGCCAGCTCTCAGGTATACACCACCTCCTCAGTTTACACTGCTGTATCCTCAACGTCTCACAATATATGGGATAGCATTGGACGCTAGGGCAAAGTTTTCCCTGGCCTTATTAATGAACTCACAGACCTCTCACCATGTGGGTTCTGCATCTTTGAAAGGGAACATTGTCAAGATTGTCAAAATTTAATACATTTTAAAACATTTCTTTGCCAACTCTAATTCTTTCTCACACTTTGGATCACTGCTAGTCCCACAGAGGTACTCTTCCATGTCACTGTCAGCTCCTCTGTTCTGTCACCAAGAGGCTAGATATTTAAAGGCGTTTTTGTTGAAATTTGTCCTTTCCTTTGCCCACTGCCTCCTGTCTATCTGCTCACACCCTTGCTTGATGGAAGGCCCTTCTCAGCTTTTGAAAATTACACTTTAGATCAGTCTCCCTAAGACATTTTTTCTGTCTCTTCTTACAAGATCTTGATTTCCTCTCCTTTTTCCATGTTTTTCTATAATTTTTCTCTCCATGTATCCAGCCATGTGTGACGCCATGACAGAAAAAATGAAGGTGGTTTATTAACAACAAACCAACCGGAAGCAAAAGGGCACAACTCAAATCGAAGTCAAAAACATAGTCCAAAAGTCAAAACACAGATCCGTCAGAACAGCGAAAGTACCAAGGGAAGAGGCAAAAAGTCAAAAACAGAACAAACGAAGCAAAGGTCAAAACACGGAGTATAATCAAATGGGTAAATAACGCTCAGTAGGTTTCTAGGAAACAATACCTTGCAAAGATTTCAGACTAAAGCCCGGGCTTAAATAATGCTAACTATCTGTCATATGATCTTATGCACAGGTGAACATAGTTAGTACTCAGGGGATTGAGAACGCTGATAGGTTCGGCGGTGAAAGTCCAAAGTCACATGAGACCCCATTGAATTCTGGGCAATGGAGTTCTCTCCGGAGCTGGATTCTGAGTGCGGATGTTCAGTCATGTGATCTCCCAGAGGATTCTGGGAGATGAAGTCCGTGTCTTCCTTAGAGTTGACCGAATGCGTGACACCATGGTTGTCCTATTTTATCCACCTCTTGGTCAAATATCTTCCATTCTCTTGTCACTGCTGCAGCCAGCTATTTCATTTGCTCTTTCTTGGTATCCTGGCTCCTGGTGCTCAATGTTGGCTGTTCTCATCTTTTGAACACCTTCAATCTCTTCATGATGGTGTCTCTCTTCTACTGCACAAATAATGTTGTTGATGTGCCTGGAAATTCTGGGTACACCTAGACACCTTAGACACCTGCCTCGGTGTTACCAGGTTCCATTACATTTAACTTTTGCACACGAACATCCAATCTCACATGCCATGCCTCTCCTTTTTGCATGTCCTCCAGGTCTCACTGTTCTGTAGTTGATTGCCCATCACAAATAGTCATAAGAGTGAACTGCCTTGCAAGTTGATCAATCTCCTATCTAACTCTCACCCAGTCTTGAGGGTATCTTTATGCATGTTGATTTTGCTTATTATTGTCAGATGTATGTATTCATGAAAGATTGTTAAATGTTATAGAGGTCCATTAATGCATATTTTTTGAAACAGACTTTTACCAAACTAATTTAATTCATTCATTCATTCATTCATTCATTCATCTAACCATACATCCTTCCATCCATGTTCACATCCATTCATTAAAGGGGAATTCTTCACTTTTGTTTTTAAATTTCTGGATAGTTACATCGTCCAGATGTAAACAAAGCCATTCAGTGTTTAATATGCCATTTTAGAGAGACTTAATGAGTCAGAATTGTTCACATTGATGGTGGTCACAACCAGACACCTGAAGCATTTAAAACCTCTAAGAGTTGCCTCACAGACAGATATTACATAAAATAGTTATGAACATGCTGCCTGATTGTTTTATGATACTCAAGGTAGATAGAAAATGTTTTAGCCTAAAATGTATTTGTAAAAATCATTGAGGGAAGAGAGGGACAAGCCAGATTTCGCACTCTTTTCACTTGATCAACATTGCATATAAAAACTCAGAACAGAGTTGAAGCTTCACTGTTCATTTGGATTTGGATCTTTGTGTTGTATACATTGCAAACTTTCCTATCAGCACCACTGTAAAGAAATCAAGAAATGTATCAGTCAGTAAGTCTCTCTACAATGCACCACTTCATACCAAAACAGGTTTTATGCCAAGCTGTTACCTTTGTAGATTTTTTTCTGGGTCCCTCATGAAACAGTTTTCAAGCTTCATTTTCTCTTCATGACCGTCTGATCACAGCATGCGACTCCTTGCCCTTCTCCAGACAGAAAACTGTTGAAAGTTCATACCAGTGCACAGAGCACTACTCACCATTTAAGACATGCTCCCATAAGGGGGATTCAGATTAGAGCCCCAGCTGTGCCATGTGCTAAGCTAGAGGAAGAATGTTGTGTAAAATCTTGTGTCGTGGTATTTTTTATTGAAGCATGCACAGGACTCTCCATAGCACCTGGAAAAAAACATTTTCTCAGCCTTGAGAGAGTTTACAGAGAATTGTGCAGCTTTCTACTGTGCCCAGATATGCTGCTTTTGAGTTAATTATAAGAGCTACAGATCATTTACAGGTCTGCTTAGTTCATCTACAAATCTGCTTGCTTCACCTGAACAGACCCTCGAGCCTTGATCTACTCCCCCACCCCTCTTCTCTGTCTGGCTCATGCAGTCAAATGCTCTGTATCCTCTTCCCCCTCCCTACACACACACATATACACTCCTCCTGTCCTCCATCAGCTCCCCACACTCCCCCTGTTCTCCCTCTCTCTTTGGCTGTGTGATAAAAGGTAATGATGCTCAAATATTTCTCTTTCTCAAATTACACTCTGGGGACAAACAACATGGTCCCGATTGTTTCCCCACTATCTTTTATGTAGCGTAATAATGAGCTATTGACTGTAGCCCACCCACAGCTACAATTTCATGTTTTCTAACATCTTTTTCTCTTCTGATTTACAGCTCCCGTAAACCCCCATTGGAGTGAGTATCTTTTAAATCCATCATAGTGGCCATAACGTAGTTTGGATATACACTAAACATATTTTTTTCTATTAAAACTTGAAACATTATTAAGAAAAACAAGTGCTGTCAAACAATGTAGGTGGTGAGTAACTGTTCCAGTGTTATGGCCAGCTTTGCCAGTTATGAGTCTAGCATGTATATACTACAAGTAATATTGTTTGCATGTGTAAGTGATAATTTGATTAAGTGTAAAATATTTGTCCTGCAACTGAACAAAAAAGATGACAATTATTACATAATAGTAATAATAAAATAATTTCATCTCCATAGGTAAATTCCATTGCAGCTTTGAAGAAGAAGCCATATGTATGTTCACCCAAGACAAGACAGAAGAATTCGACTGGACAAGACATAGTGCTGCCACCAGGGACACCAAGTACACACCTAACACTGGACCCAGCAGTGACCACAGTGGTTCAAAGCAAGGTACTGAGTGCTGAGACCTAGGCATAAATATGTCTTTTAAATGTTTTGCTCCTGAAGATATTCATCATATATGCAAACTCATCGCCTCTTGGCAAGTTCACCATTTTGAGTGATGAATTTGCCATTCACATGAACCGTATTTAATGAGTTTCATCTAATGAGCAGCAGTTGCTAGCAAAAATATAATATCTCAAAGATATGATACTTTATTGTTATGGGTCGTTCAGAACTAAGATCATATTACCAAAATGTGAAAAGAAAGCCACATTCTGTGATTGGTGAAGTTGATTTTATTTCTGCAATTCTTTCTTCAACAGTTGGCAAACAAGATTAATATGCATAGAATATTATTGTTTGCAACTAATACAATCACTTTGTTTTTATCTGAAATTGATTTTGCTGATTCCTGTGGACTGCTAACTGCTATGCAAACTTAAAGACACTTTAATTTAACTTTAGATATCTGGTGATGGAAATGGTGCAATAGATAGTTTGCTATTGAACCAGTCGCTACATCCTAGATTAAAGAGAAATGAATCTATCTGAAGTAAAATTCTAACAGCCTTCAGCAAGCACTCACGTACTGCCTGTTCCACAAGCTGACAACAACTGGGGCTAAGGTCCAGTTGACTAGTTCTTAGGAGTTGTGATTGGGGCTCCACAATTTCTATTAGCTGCTCTTGAAGGCAAACACTTCACCCAGTTGTGTTTATCAATAAACCAAAATGGCATTGTTGGAAAGATAGAAGTGTGGACAGTCTTATACAATATCAAAGGGCCAAACTGACAAGTCAGTACAATTCCTTTGCCAGAACAGTCTATTCAATCTGTGCAATCTCTGGTTATTCGTACAGCAGCCACAGCACAAAGCCAGAACTACAACACGTTTGCCAAGTTCAATATAAATACGTTTGAATGCATGTTATCAGCGAAGGTCAAGCCTTCTGACTCAATAGCAATTTAAGTCAGCTGCAGCCTGTCACCCAATTTTAAAAGAAAAATATGAGCCTCTTTGAATCTATTAAGTAGATTGTAGAGTTAATCAACAGTAACATACTGTGGAGTAATTTTAGTTCTGCAATTGATTATTATTTCAGATATTGTTTGGCATGAGAGCAGTAAAGGGTAAGATTTGTAGACTACAACTGTGGATAATGGCTGCTACTTGCCTTGGCATTGAAGTTCTGCTGAAACATTAAATAAACTCAAAGATTGATCTTCAAAGTTCAGATTTGAGGGAATAGGAGAGTTGTTGGCGCATTATGTGGGCGAAATGAAGCTCTGCAGCATGCCGTAACTGTGAAACTATGAAACTTTTATATGAGCTTCTTTTGACTTCAGATGCCTTGAGGAGTACGGTCTCTTCTGGATTTCAAGAGTAGAGTCTAGCCACAGCGCTGTACTCTTGAGATGGATGTGATCATTTCTCTCTCTCTTTATCATTGGGCTACAAGGATGTGTCTAGTGCTAGACCAACAAGACGTGTTTCACTCTTGCGTTTGGATTGCCTTTGGCTTTCATATAGGAGCCAAGATGACATGGAAAAAATGAGAGGTCAGAATTCATCACTGACTGACTGGTTGATTAGTGCCTGAAGGAGGTAGCTGTAATGTATTTTTTTTAAATAAAAAAAAATGTAAGAAACTGCTAGTGTAAGATAATTGAAGAAATTTTTTTAACCATTTTGGTGATGGTATATAACAATAATGTTATAGATGAACTATGAGTTCTGTTGTTGTAGCTCTACACATTTAGAAGCAAACTAAACCTAAGAAATGTATAGTGTATTAATAAACTGAAGAAAATATCAATTAAAATAGTAAGAAATCCATTGCAGGTGCCTGAAAGCTAAAAAAGCCAAGCTTTTTTAACTGCTTTAAAGTTTTATTGTAAAACTACAATGAAGAATAAAGAGAATTTCACAAATCCTGCTGCAGTTTTTGTATGTAGTTCTCTACCCGTTTGTGTACACTGGATGCAAAATGGTGTCATGATCTAATGATGTTCTGGGTAGACTGATATCTGTAATTACTTGTAGGATCAATGTGACTGGCTCATTAACTTGTTTTCCCATCTGAGCTGCATAGTTACTTCACTGTCATCCTGTCATTTACTGATAAGTCCAATACTGTTTAAATTCATGCTGTAGGCAAGCTAGCAGTACACTACATACAGTTTCACTATGTTGTTCATATGTGCCAGGTAAATAGAGAATATTTAGCAATATCCACAAATGAAATGAAAACATGAGCCCAGAAAAGGCAGAGACAAAAGGGAGGGCTGTCCTGTCCAAAGTGACAGATTCAGTCTGCAGTCTGACTACATGGGCAAGTGACACATGCACCACTCTTGAATTGATATAAACACTCACCTAACTCTTTATTAGGATCACTATACTTATACCAGGTAGGGCTTCCCTTTTTCCTGAAAATAGCCTAAATTCTTTGTGGCATGTATTCCACAAGATGTTGAAAACTTTCTTTTGAGATTCTGGTCTATTTTGACATGACTGCATCATGCAATTCCTTTTTCAGGCGCACTTTCATGTTGCACATTTCCCATCGCACCTCATCCTAAAGGTGTTCTATTGGATTCAAATCCAGTGAGTGGGAAGGCCCCTGAAGAACATTGAACTCATTATCATGTTTATAAAGTGTTATAATAAAAACTATATTAAAAAATAAATGTTTTTTACTCATTTTCCATTTTATCAGCTCCACTTATCATATAGGTGCACTTTGTAGTTGTACAGTTACAGACTGTAGCATATCTGTTCTCTGCATATTTTGTTAGTTCCCCTTCACCCTGTCCTTCAATGGTCAGGACAGAGCACACCACCACCATGACAGAGCAGGGACTATTTGAGTGGTGGATCATTGTCAGCACTGCAGTGACATTGACTTGGTGGAGCTATGTTAGTGTGTGTTGTAGTGTTGCACAAGTAGATCAAACACAGCATCATGTTTATAAAGCCAGTTTGAGATGACTTTTGCTTTGTGACATGATGGAAGCAGCCCTTAGAAGATCGTAAATTGTGGCCATGAAGGGATGGACATGGTCAGCAACAATACTCAAAAGGCAGTGGCATTTAAGAGATGATTGATTTGCCAAAAAAACATTCTCCACACCATTACACCACCTTCACCAGCCTGGACTGTTGACACAACGCAGGATGGATCCTTGGATAAATGCTGATGGCACCAGATTCTGACCCTACTGTCTGTGTGCCTCAGCAGAAATCAAGATTTATCAGACTACAGCTGTCTAGTTTTGGTGAGTCTGTGCCCACTCAGCCCCAGCTTTCTGTTCTTGGCTGACAAAAGTGGTCTTCTGCTGTTCGATGTGCGGTCCATCCATCACAAGGTTTGACGTTCTGTGCATTGTGAAGTGCTTTTCTGGTCGCCACAGTTGTACGGAGTAGTTATCTGAGTTACTGTAGCCTTTCTGTCAGCTCAAACCAGTCTGGCCATTCTCCATTGACCTCTCTCATCAACAATGCATTTTCATTTGCAGAACTGCCACTCATTGGATGTTTTTTCTTCATTGCACCTATTAGGTGTTCCTAATAAAGTGTTATATTAACAATTATAATAAAAAAATAAATGTTTTTCACTCATTGTCCTTTTTATCAGCTCCACTTAGCATATAGGTGCACTTTGTAGTACAGTTACAGACTGTAGTATATCTGTTCTCCGCATATTTTGTTAGTTCCCTTTCACCCTGTCCCTCAACGGTCAGGACAGAGCTCACCACCACCACGACAGAGCAGGGACTATTTGAGTGGTGGATCATTGTCAGCACTGCAGTGACACTGACTTGGTGGAGGTGTGTTAGGGTGTGTTGTACTGTGTGTTGTAGTGTGTGTTGCACAAGTAGATCAAACACAGCAGCGTTGCTGGAATATGGTGTGTGTGTGTGCTAAATGTGTGTGTGTGTGTGTATATATATACACACACGTAGCAATTTTCAAAGGAAAAAGGTAACAATTATTAAATTTAAAACAGGATCTAATGACAGAAATGGTCTTAATGAGCTCGCTGTTTTCTTTTCTCTGTTTTGGCCCTTGGACCACAACAAACTTTCACCCCAAACAAAAGACAGTGGTTATATAAAGAATGAAGATGAAGACTCAAGACTATGAAGACTCAAAGAACCATTTGAATGCTTTTGTGGTTAAATGGTTCTTCTCTGTGTTGGAAAACCGTTGTATGTGGGTCTGTAAAGAACATTTTTTAAAAAATGGTCGTATATGGCACCAAAATGGGTAAGCTGTTGTTACAAGCCATAGAACCACTTTTATGGTACTATACATAACCCTCTTGCTAGGAGTGTATGCTTATAATGATGTTACTACTGCAGTCAACAGTTCATAAACATCAAAAATCTAATAAATGTTACATAGTAGGTTTTTTTTATATTAGGGATTATAAGCATTTCATTTATTAACAATGTGCAAGACTTAATGTACAAGTGGGTGTTTAGTGATGCAGTCATCTGTGTGTGTGTGTGTTTGTATGTTTTGCATAGGTTATTACATGTACATTGAAACCTCAAGGCCTCGTCAGGAAGGAGACAAGGCACGACTGTTGACCCCTTTGTTCAATGTTGCTCCGAAAAATCCCTATGGAAATGTGGCCACTAATCCAACCTACTGCTTTAGCTTCTACTACCACATGTATGGGAAGCACATAGGTAAGATGATCTCTGTGAATAATAATGAATGATACATACAACTATTTAGTGATAGTTGTGATGATCTCATGTTGTGTAACACATTGACCTTCTCAGTGAATGTATAACCTTCATAAACAACATACCAGTGGAGAAAACAGCCAAACAGTAATATAGTCTCAGACCCTGTTTAAAATCCATCACTGAAAGTTTTTATCAAATTTAGGTTCATTTACAGGATAGGAAACTATCTCTTTATGTGGCGAGTTTGCAGAAATGATCCAAAACACTGTGGATCACTGTTCCCCATAACCCAAATCAAGATGTCCAGACAGATTGAGGTCTTTTTCATGCTCCATTCATGCTGGACATGTACTTGCACTTCAGGGATCGTGATGACCTTGCTGGCCTCACAGACAAGCTTGTAACTGCAATTTTCTGGTTCACAAAGCTGTCTGCCCTCTGAATTGGACGTGTCAAGCTAATTCAGCCTCGCTAGGGTCTGCTCTCTCTGGCCTTTTCCACCACCGCCTCTCTAGGTGCCTGAGGTTTAAGGAAACAAAAACCAAGCAGAATCTTCTATCTGGTTGCACAGCAAAAAGAAAAAAAAGCAGAATCACCAAGCTCAAATCGTTTTGCTCTTCTGATGTGATAGCTTGCATCAGAGGCTGCAAAGAGTATGCATTTGGAGTTTTCAGTTTTTTTCTTTTTTCATGTTCCATTCCTGCTTGAAGCATTTTTTCTCCAGGGCAACTTATCCTAGCATGACTGTACTCTTCTCTTCTGCATATCATGTGCCTCACTGTCTCCTCATTTGCAAAGAAATGAAACATACTTTTGGCTGCAACCTTGACAGATACCATTTTCCAGTACTTGCAACTCACTTTATCATTTATCATTACCAGTAACTGTTTACTATTAGCAATCTTTATATTGTGCTGTTGTTTTTTCAAAGGCTCCCTGAATGTGTATTTAAGACAGAAGAGTCAGACTGGTCAGGATAGCTCTGTGTGGACCCTCAGCGGAAACCAAGGGGACCGCTGGAGGCAGGCTAGAATCGACATCCACCCTACATCCTCATTTCAGGTGAGAAATACCACTTTTCTGCTGTGGTCATCTCCAGTATTGGCTTGGGGTAGAGTTACCCTCCCTGGTGATTCCTGTGTCCCTGTTGGTTAAGCTTTGGTGTCTCTAAAATTATAATAATTACCTAATTATGACTAGTATCATTCATTATTATTATTTTTTTATTTAAATATAACTAGAATAGCTCAAAGTCTCTTATGACACAAAAATAATGTAGTGGAACAATTAAAGCAAATTCAGAGGGGAGAAATAATTTACAAACACAGTAGTAAGTACTGCTATGCACTCGGCCAAATAAAAACAGAATAAACTTGAGTAAGTGCAGATAAAATAAAAAACAATTAAAGACCATAATAAAAAAAGAATATTGAATTGATGATGAGGTGATGAGAGTTTTTGAGTTTTAGTAATTAATTTTTAGTAATTATTAATTAAGGGATTTTTTTGGATAATTATTGACCTCCAGATGCCACAGATTATTTCAGGACCAGTGTTGACATGATGGGATCAAAATCCTGTAACTAGTGCAAAAAGTGCTGTTTTCAAAAAATTGTAATTTTATTAAAACACTTGTAACTGCAGAGTTATGGTACTCACTAAATTGCATTATTTGAATCCAGTTTAATGCCCACAATTGGAATGATATGTTAGATATACTTGATTAAAATGTTGGAACATTGAGTTGTGCCCTTTGCGGCCAATTCTTTTGAAACATCATAGAGTAATTGAGATTTCCTACACAAACACACCATTCAGGTTTCATAATGATTGGTCAATGTGCAGCCTGTCAAATGCCTGCTGAAATCTGATTGCCTGATGGGAGTTACAGTTTTCCAATTATCAGGTCATCTTTATAAGCCTTGCTATAAGCCAGAGCCCATCATCCTGTGGTCGACACAGGATAGAAAAACAAAAACTCAACAAGAGCAGTGTGAACAGAGAAAATGATTTTACAATTAAAATATGATATTGAATATAGAAAAAGGGAAAAAAGAAACCAGCCTGTCATCCTACAGAAGTATTTAGATTAACCAGTGATAACCAGTGACCACTACTGTCATGATGATATGTTATTATGAATATACAGAGAACTCAGTGTATTGTGAGGCAGGTGACACAGTGCCTGTAATTAAATAGTTCAAGTGCATGCACCAGTATCATAAGGAGGTGGGGCTTTCTGCACAGCAGTGCACAGACTGGTCAGACTGGTCCAGAAGATGGGTGAGCAAGGGCACCTGATCAAGGCAGATGAAACAACAGCATCAGACCATACAGGATATTCAGTTGTTCAGCTTGGCAAAAAAACACAGTTCTGTTTGGGGTGACTGAGAACAATGTAGTCTTAAGCAGGCCTAGCTATTACAGATTAACTAAAAAGGGAGAAGGTAACAAAGACATGAGGGCTTCCTGAGATGTCAGCGCCCCTCCGTATGTGCCATTCTGGAAATTGTTGTTACCAAGGTTTGCTTAAAAACCTTGAGAAATAGATGAGGAGCACTCCTCACCACTGTAGCTTGGGGTTGTTCTCTTCTGACAAATTATGTCATAATTATCTAATAATTCAACAGACCTTGCAGTCATTCTCAAATTGACTGTAACCTACACTGAAGAGAGCTCTGGCCCAATTTGTGAATTAATGATAGAAGCAGGATAAGCATGCTTAGTATGCTTGGGAGTCTTAATGCCTAGTGTGCATTTGGTGGTTGCTCTAATTCAGTTAGTCTAGATAAGAAATGGACTCTAATATGCTGGTAAAGTGGCAATTACAGTATTGTCAGTAAAGGAGTGGATAAAGGCACTACTGGTTTTCAGCAACAGTCAAGCCAGCAAAAAAGTCACATTCGAGTTGGAAGGCCATCAAGCAAGAGACATACATGCCTCTACAAGTTTTACTTTAAATGAAAGTGGGTGACATAAGCTTTCACAACATTACATGAAGATGTCATAAGATTTCTATTGTATTGTACAAGAATTTGTTTTGCGTTAAATTGGTACATGATAGCTCATGCTTAATAAGATGAGGGACATAAACAAATGAGATAAAAAAAGGTCAGTTTTGATTCCAGGTTGACTTTAAGGCCAGAAATCCAGAGGACACCTATTATTGTGGTACTTAACATTAAGGATGTGCACGGGTACTCGAGTACTCGGTTAACTGTTTAAAGTGTCGGTGTTCAAATGCTAAAATCGCTATTCGGCTATTTGTTACATTTCTTCACAAAAAAAAGACCAACAGCTCAGATGAACGCCAGTTTTATGTTTTAACAGGACTGTAAAATATTGCCCATATTTGCGAGGAAGCATGTATAATTTGTGTTGCTGCTCCTAAACAGGAGGGTCTTAATGTGCTTGCATTAGCAAGGATGTGACAGAGAAGGAAAAAATAGCTTCATTGCTAACATGTCTATGCAAGTTACTCTAGCTGAAGTTAGCTAGGTCCAGAAACAGTGAAAATACATTTCTCTAGCAAACTAATATATAATAATTATTAATTATTTATTGAGGATAAAAGACCACCTGTAAGAAGATGAGGAGTCCTCATCAGTATCCAGTGCTGTACCATTACCTCTGTTAACTCTTTAGCTCACCAGAGGCAGCCTACACAAAAACATACTGATAATCCTCAGCTGTATATTTGAATAATAAAACATGTCTTTAAATGTTTTTGTGCAACACCAGTGTTACTTTTTGTTTTTTTCTTTCTCCATGATTAACCAGTTATTGATCTTTGTGGGTGCTCATTTCAATATTCGTCAGAATGCACATCCCTACTAAAAAAATCACTTTTCTGCTGACATGTAATGCTGTTAAATAATAATGTTGGAGGTTAAAAACTTTCCGAATAAATGTTTTATGAGGGCACTTACAAAGGATTTTGCCAGATTCTGAAATGTGTCATGAAGTTTTGTATGGATTGTTGGCCCATTTATATGAAATTTGTATTTGTCTCAATTAGGAAAGAAGCATTACTATCACTTTATTCTGTAGCCACATGGTTCAATTTAAAGACAAAAATGCCATTTAGTTGACATTGATTTGTAAACCTGTGTTTTGTGCCCATTCTTCACCACCCATTTATAGTTTGTGTCTTTGCATGTATTCTGAGGTTCTCTTGAAGATTTTATCGGAAATAGAGATGGCAGGTTTGTGTTTATATTGTTATCGATAGTGTCATATAAACTGTCATAAGGATTTGTGCACTGTTTTTAAGGGGATTCATGATTTAGTTTGTTTTTTCCAGTATATATTAATCATACAGCATTTCACTTCCATATAAAACTGACAAAGATGATGACCTCCAAAAACCACCATGCTTTCTACTCCTTCTCTGCACCAACACAAAGGCACATTAGAGCCTGACTGGCAGACTCCACTGTGGTTTTGCTGGAGCAGAAGGAGAATTTTTTATGCTTTATTCTACTGGAAAAAGAATCAAGAGCAGCCTCCAAAAGCCTGCAGCCTGAATCAATGCTTTTTCACTGTTTGTATACGTCTGCGTACCAGTGCGTTTTTCTTATTGTATGCTTATATAATGTTGTTACCTGAGCTTTTACTTGTCATGATGAAGGTACTCGTCATATATGATTGGCTCAGTGCAGGTGTAAATCATTCAGTAGGAATGGGAAGTAACAACAATTGTCCCAATGGCCACTTAAAGGGTGCCTTCACTTTTCTTCACCATGTAACACTGTATTCCTACTACTATTAAGGAAATGGTTCACTATTACCCAAGATGTAGTCGATCTATACACTCTAGACATGCTGCTTCTGTAGTTTAGCGCTGGAGTTACGAAGCTAACGTTGCTAATAAACACGACATCAATGGACGCAAATACACAAACTTCTCTCACTTTGCCCATCCATGTTCATTAGGATTACACAGACTTGTCAATGTAGTTAATGATGCAGCATGACTCACTGTGAACTATATAAATGCACAAAACTTGTTTAGCTAAACGCAGCGGATATTTGTGCCAAATTCTGACTCCTCTTCAAGTGCACGTCATGTAGGCATATAGGCGCTACAGATGACTTTCACGATTTCTGTTGTTTCTTTTTATAGATAACTGTTAATCCTGAATTTTAGAACTGAAAATATATGTTCATAAATAGAAACAACAGACATTGAGAGTATAATCTAGAGTGTGTTATATGGGAATGTGAAAGGAATTCTGCAGGGCAGTTGGAATTTGGCACAACAGCTGTTGTCTAATATAACTGTCTAATACTGCACTTTGTTATACTGTGAGATTTTGGCCATTTTATAGTTCTCAGAAAGTCATACTGTGTCCTAAACATCAACAAGTCCTGAATGAAGTCTTGGATGTGGGTTCAGTGGGTTGAGAGAAGCTTTGAGGATGTATTTACAAAAAAGATTAGGGTGACTTCTAGTGTTTCTTAGCAACATTGTCCTTGTAACTCCAGCACTAAATTAAAGAAGCAAAATTTGGGCACCAAACATGTCTTGGCTGATCAACTATATCTGGGTAGGTAGAGAGAATTGTGATTTTATTTTTTGCCAAACCATTCTTTCAAATAACATGTATTTTTACTAGTCAAGTCACTGTTTATTTTTATAGTCCAAGCCCCCATGAGCAAGCCAATGGCGACGGTAGCAAACAGAAACTCCCTAAGAGCAAGAGGAAGAAACCTTGAGAGGGAGGTCCTCCTCTGGTCGATACCAGATAGTAAAACAATAACATGAGCAATAGTAACAGAGAATAAGCTTTTATCGTTAACATAAGATATTAAAATAGAGAATAGAATAGGGAAAAACATTCATTGGACAGAAGTATTCAGATTAAGCAATGATAACTGATGACTACTAATATTTCCTCAAGTTTCATTTGGTAGAATACTCTGCCTAGTGCAACTTTGACATTGATTAAGCATTCAGTTTGGTCTTACGGGTGGGATGAATATCTGGACTTGACTAAATTTGAGTTTATTAAGAAAAAAATTCCACATGTTGTATTTTGTTGTACTAACTCAGTTAACAAGATATTACACATGGCACTGAACTGAAAAATGTGGTTTGTGTAATGGCATAAGAAGAGGGCGTTCATCCAGATCATTCTTCTTGTCCCTTCATGTAGATGGTTTTGGAGGGCCTCCGTGGTCCTGGAATTGAAGGGGATATTGCCATAGACGATGTGACCATTGAGGAGGGAGAATGTCGAGACCCCCCTCCCAATAGCAGTGAGTATATTGGATGGTCTTGAAATAGAGGATAAATCTCTCAGGTATTGATTTCTAAACAGGACTGCAGACTATCAGACTCCTCTTGCATTAATGTTATAATACTCAATCGATACAGTGTATGAAATATTTACTAGTGATTTGGCTTCACTGGCTGTTTTATTGACTAGCTATTCACAAGGCTGTTTACAAATGGAGATTTTAACTGAGACATCTGGAGTAGCTTTTCAAGTACTTATAATACAATGAAAATAAATGACAAATTTCAGAAGGTAATTTATGGTTGAATTATGTGTACTGTAGAATAGTTTCTGTGGAAATGTAATTTCTGTAAACATAATAACAAGGCAACCATGGTGTGTCTTTGAAAGTGAGAACAAAAATTCTGAAGCTGGCATCTGTTCTGTATCTTTTCACTATAATCTAGAAATGTAAATACTGTGTAAGTATGTGTAGATTTGATGTGTAGATTTACAGTTATTTTGGTTAAAAATAATTGAGTGCTTGCAATCATGTGTTTGATCTCTAGATCTGAGGTCCCTGGCCCCTCCTACAGCAGAGCATATATGGCAGTTGTGTCTCACTCTGCTCTTGGTCCTGGCTGGCCATCGGAGGTGACCATGTCCTGGAGAGGTCAAATCCGGCTCTGGCACTCCTAGGGGCTTTTGGCAGACAAGGACTGTCCGAATACAACTACCAAAGATTCATCCCGTCTGTAAGAGAGAATCACAGTTCAAAGAATGATCCAGATGGAGTGCGGGAGGGAGTCGATCACTAGTTAACAAATATTGATCCGTACATTACAGGAGACCATGCAAAGTCAGGATTCAAAAGCCTATTAAAGTTGGTGAAGTTCTTAATACGTGAATGGGTGTGCCTGGATTCTTTGATAACCGTGGATTGACCAGGTGAATCTTCTCAAAGCACAAAGACGCAACATGTATTTTCCAGAAGGTTTTGCTTTGTTTCTCGGTGTTCATCTTGACGTCCACATTATTGCAATATATGACACAAGTGAAAGAGCTAGAGCCCCTGATAAATGGTAATTAGAAAAAGTAGAAATTATTGTTTGTCTTGACAAGAATCCATTTCTTATCTTTTTTGTTATACATTAAGTAGCAGAAGAATATGAACAATTTCCCCTACATATCGCTTAATTCATCAGGGCTCCTGAAAACTGGGCTGTTTTAGAAATGCCTTTTGGTTTCAGTCTGCTGTCTTTTGTTGTTATTATTTTTTTAACCTCCCATAATATGGCCATGCCTAGATATGAATAGGTCATGGCCTATTCATACTGCAGTATCACTTCTTTATGGTGGTGACTTCCACTACGTTGTTTCAATGCTATCTTTATGTTTTGGTTGTCATCTCTGATATCCGCAGGTATTTGGCCAAAATCATTTAATTCATGGGATAACTGACAAGTTGAACACTCGATGTCTTTAAGAATTATTGAGTTGGCCTTTTCATTTTAGAATGACTTCATAAAATGCATTAAAAATGAGGTGCAGGGACCGCTTGAATGTCAACCTTTAACTCCTGCATGGGTTGCCCATTGAATTCCAAACTGTGCTCCTCTGAAGCTGTGCCAGTCTGCAAGCAGTTGTTTTCTTGAGGTGCAGAAAGATAGCCGTCCTTTCACAAGACCTTTCACCGTAGGACCCTGTTCCAATACAGAACATGGAGCTGCTGTCTGCAATGAAATCAAGTGCCTTCAGAACTTAGTGTAACATCATTCAGTTCAAACACCTGGTGGGCTATTGATCTTTGGCACGTTTCATAGCATATCAATAGCAACAAGATGAAGGGCAAGAAACAAGCACGACAGATGGATGACCCTAGTGCCACGTCCTGTCCCAAAGCCCCTTCACAGCTCTCTTGGATTCCGCATAGTGTTGGTCATCATTTACTTTGACAGCCATTGCTTTCAAATTATACACCATGACATGTTCCATTCCCAACTGAGATTGACAAAAACTATGATGGACTCATTTGAGGAAAGACAGTTCCTTTAATGATGGACTTTAAATAGGAGTTCCAGAGCCAGAATTCTGGACGAAATACTGCTGGGAGGGTCACTGTGAAGTCCTCCTTCAATTCAATAAGACGTTTGTGTTGTCGAAGAAGACGTTTTCAAACACTCAAGGACTGATTAGAACAAAGGATGAAGTCTGATGTACTCTATGAACAGCCTTGATGAGCTGGGTCCATCCACTTGGATTCTTACAAATGATATTTTATTACTCTGACGAACAGTGACTGCTTTTACACAAACTGTTTAAAAAATTGTTTGAACTACCTGAGACCATCCGTTACCTTAACCAGCTGGTTTTTGGAAATGTATTGTAAAGTCACTTCTATTGTTCATAAAGTTGTTTCTGGGGAAAATGCATTTTCCTCCCTGAGTTTTGTTAGTCCAAAATATGTTGTTCGTTTTTTTTTTTTTCTTAAACATGTCCATTTTTAAATCCCTTTTCATGATCGTATGATTCAACATGATATAATATGAAATTATAGTATGGTATTATGAAATAATATCAAATATGAGATTATATGCAAATACATTGGATAGGACCTCCTATTCAAGTTTCACATTTTTAAAATATTCATACAAAAAAGCACAAGTAATATCACTACACAATACACACAGTACTTTCCACACAAGTTGTTTTCTTTTTCTTCAATTTGATTAAGCTACACCTAATAGAAACTACTCCCCAATAATTACGTATGAAAAGGCAAAAAGATATTTTACATCTCTGATCAATAAAAAGCTTTCATGGTAACGAGTGACCTATTTTTTTTTCATCAGCATTACCAAATTTTACAGAAAGGTTAACTGTGTTCTCACGCCAAGTACTCCTAAAATACTTCATTGAGATTTGTCTGCTGTTGGAATTCTGTACTTCCCACACTTCACTGACATTTTTAACAATTTTCCTGGCCTCATTTATTTAATGCTGAAAGCTTACAAGGTCTGCATATAAGCACAGCATGAAGGGGTGCCAGCAGAACTAGTTTGTGGGCCATTAAACACACGCAGCTTTCATCAAGAAATGGCTTACAGATTTTTTTTTCATGGGAACACTGCCTGTGGATGTTGTTGAGAAAGAAAAAGAATTTCTCCCAAGTCTGTTCGTTCAAACATCTATTGTGTAAAAGGCATATTAATACATTGCATAGGCAATTTCACTGTATGAAGAGCTGCATTTTGGACTATACATTGTGCTGCTGATGAAGGGCTAGAGGATGACAAAACAGCTAAAAAAGTCTGTGTAAGGAAAAGAAAGAGCAGTTAATGGAACTAGATAGCGAAAATACATCTCAAAATGCATATCATCATTGTCAGAACAAAATTTCTATCTCTGAAGTGTTAAGTGTTTGTTAATGTTTAATGCCAGTTCATATAACAAGATTATTCCAAGTCATTTTGGATCATTTTAGCTGGTCCATTCATCATCAAGTTTTCACATAATATAAAGAGCTGCTGGAAATTATGTAAAGAAAATAGATACATAGATGTTTATATAGATTATTGCAAATATTTTTCCCAATGTCAACAATATATGGGTTTAATCTGCAACTAATCAGTTTGAATAGTAAGACAATACATGCCGTATTTGAGTTTTTTGGGTGTTATTGAAAAATATCTATTATTATCCAATCAGGATCTTTTTTTCACTGTGGTATTTAGTTAGATACAGACAAGTGAGCTCTCCCAATGGTTAAGACTTCAGGAGCTGAACTAAAGGCATAACATGTCAGATTAACCACTAATAAAATTAGAAACTGACAGAGGAATTGGTCATGTTTTGATTTACAATGGGTGGTACCTATTTTTTGAGAAAAACATCACTGTAAGCCTCCAGTCACTGCAAAACTGCTACAAGGTAAAATATATGTTAATATATCTGTTACAAGCTTCAAATGAAACGAGATGTCTGATACAAGCTGCAAATGTCAGCATATATTCTAAAACAGCCAAAATGATCATGTGAAAATGATCATTGTTAGCTTAGTGCTAATGTATTGTTAGAATTCCATAAAGGAGCAGAAATTAGCTGTGATAGTCACGGTTTGCCACTGATTAGACTATTTATCATAGATTTACATATTGGTCTGGTATATAACAGTAATGTTGAAATTGATCTAACATTAAGCAGTTCACAGATATTTGGGTGGTTTCCTGACACTTGACTCACAGTGTATAGAGAACAGTACAGAACTGTTCATAGTTTTAAAAGTCACTGAAAGAACCGCGCTTTACGCCTCACTTTTCTACTCTGGTGGCACCGGATGTGATCCGGCAGTAGTAGACATTAAGAGAAAATATTTATATTTTTAAAATATCTTAGAATATTAATGCAGAACCATGAAGTTTTCAGTTTTTGGGGTAAATGATTTGAATGTCATCTTTAGAAAGTGTGGCATTCTTAATTGAATAATCTTCATTTTTCAAGTATGCTAGTTTCAGACGTATCATATTTACTGCCAGGCTGCATTAGTGAATGTCTTTGGAAGCAGTTCTTTGCTGGCCAAAACAGTGTGCTTCATGGTGGTGATAAGGATTTCAGTGAGGGTTGTCGGTCTTGCATCAGCTCAGGTATGTGTTGGTGTACTGGGCAGTTGACATTTTAAGAAAACCAGGTTGCAAAGTTCCTTTGGCTGCATAATAATGACCTTCTTCATTCAAGAATTGTAACAGACTTACAAGATGATTTCCCAGTATGTCGGTTTTGTGTAGATGTGGCAAGAAAATGTGGAGAACTGTTTTATATATTATTATAAATGCAATGGATGCACTGGTAAAAGAACCTGAAAAATATTGATTCACAAATGGCTTAGCTTCTATTAAAAACAAACATGACAGTGCAAAAGAGTGTCTACTTCTTCATTTCTAGAAGTGACAGATTTTTAATGTCCCATGTTGTGGGCATTTGACAGTACATTCTTTTTTGCGCATGATGCTTTCTTATAGGTACAGTGGCTCTTCACAAATCAAACATGGAAATCTTTTAATAGGGTAGAAATAAATGAATAATATTACACTTCAGCATCCATCTGACTTACAGTATTAAAGTGCTGCACCGAGAGCTTCTGTAGTATCAAAAGTAAACTAGGATCAATCTACTAGTAACAGAAGTAAAGCTAATTATTATACAATCTACACTGAATCCATTTATGGCATTTGGCAGACACTCTTATCCAGAGCAACTTACAATTTGATCATTCTACACAGGTAGGTGAAGGTAGTGTTAGGAGTCTTGCCCAAGGACCTCAATAAGGTGAGTTTTGGTGAGTTTTGCACATACATGAGACAAATGAGTCTCCAGAAGGGTAAATTATTAAGTTATTAAATAATTAAGTAATTACAACAGGACATTTCTCTCCACCTCTGTATAGACTGGGAATTACAAATACCTGAGTGAAAACATTTCCAAATAATTTCAGCAGCATTTGGAAACAGTGGAAGGTTTGACGAACATTCACATTTTTCTGTAGACACATTATCAAAGCACACACCTGGTTGCAGCAGAATGAAAGGAATGTGGGCAAAAATGCACATCCTAGACTGACTAGAAATTGTGACTGAATAATAGAATGCAGAAATTAATGCAAGATGTAGATGTCATAGACATTCGCAGACCTTGTGGCTTTGAAAAATGATTTTAAATGTTACTCTGCTTCTGATTCTTTTAAAACGTAGATGTTAGACAAAAGGAGAGCAAAAAAACGTGAGTCCTCCAGTTTGAAGTGCTGGCTGCAGATTATTAATGAAGTCTATTACAAATTATGATTCTAAAGCAGCAACTTTTTAAACTTTTTAACTTTTTAAAACCATAAGCTAATTTAAAGGTTGGTAGCTTGATCAGACCCAATAGCACAAAAGATCTGGTTTAGATGTCGTCAACATCATAGATGACTTTTACTGACTTTCTCAACATCATATCACTGCAAGGCCATATGGCTGCAAGTGTATAAAACACTAATGAGGTGGGGCCTATCACACATAAAACAGTATTAAAAGAAAATAATCTTAATGTATATATAATGTATAATGTATATAAAAAATAATGTCTTAA